GTTTCATCATTATGCATCAAAAGTAATCTTAAAAAAACCCAGAATTTAAAAATATTGCGGGCAAAATGTTAGATTCTCTTTTTACAAACACAAGACTTTTAGTATAGAAAGCAAACACACAAACATTTTTCCTGAAGTTTTTAAAGGAGAGAAAAAAAAAATTCAGAGCAGGGACTTTCAACATGAAAAGCCACAGCTGAGAATTTTAACTGTTTTCAAACTGAAATTATACACGTACACTCAGATGCACACCCCCTCCCTCAGTGACAGAGTCTCGTTTGCTCTGACAAATGATAAGATCACTGAAAGTACTAGAAATAGTCATAAGTAGTTACTCCTTTTTTAGGAAAAGCAAAATAAAATTAATCTTGCTACTTGTCGAGTTCTTCAGTGGCAAACTACTTACTGCTGAGTGTAAATTAAAATATCCATTTACAACCCGCTAGTTACAGCACCGGATTTGGCAAACCAGATTGGTTTGGTGATTAACTTGAAGGACAAATGTAAGTCTAAGAATGTTTGCTGACTTGGGGTTTACACACAGAAATAGGGCCTCAGTCATACCAACTGCTGAGCAGTTATTGTCACGGTAAATACGCATATTCCACCTAGCTGTGTAAATATGTATACTGTTTCTTCCTAAAAAAATCCACAGGTAGAAATTCTTAAGTACTGTAACAGTATAATTAGGTACGTGCTTAGTCTCAGACTGAAATAACTCATAACTTATAAATGGGGGACACTGGACTGTCCTGCAGTAAATCAGTTGGTGCAGTTGTGCTAATTAAAGGGAGAAAGTGTTCTGAAGTTGTAGGACTTCTTAACATAGGCTCTGCTTTATTGTTTTAAAAATAATTCCTTGAATTTTTTTTAATATTTTTTTTTTTAACTAGCAGATCCAAAGCTATTATTGGCTTAAGTATTATCTAAAAAAATGTGCTCAGTGTATTTTACCTTTAATCTTGCTGAGGAGCACAGTACCATCCCTCTGCATTACTGTGCCCTTGTATAATCCAAGATTACACACAGAGTATGTACAGATGCCTTTAATGTAAAGAAAATTAAAAACAATAGAAGCAACTATGGATGTGTAAATTCTAGAATCCTGTATAGTCTAGAATCATAACTACAATAAAACAAAACTTAATTTATAAAAAAACAGTCAGTGTAATAGCTATTAAGGAAAGTTGCTGCATCGTTATTTCATGATAATTTGCAGAATCATGATCAAGTCAGGCAAACAATCAGAACTATCAGATTCTCAATTCAGAATTTTTAACAAGTTGCCCAAACTACATTTTTTTTCTCCTCTTTCCTGCATCCTCTCTCTCTCTTTCTCCTTCTCTTGCAATTGTACTACTTGCTTCCCTGCTGCCCTTCCTACATCCTTAAAGTATTTTTATTTCCTCTCCAACACCTTTGTTAAAGAGCAATGTAGTGCTTTGCTTTTGAGCCTGACACTCCTGAGAACTCCTTGTCATGTCTTTGTTTCACCTACAATGTGACTTTCTTGAGAGAGGAAAAGAGTAGGTGAAGCGAGATGACAGAAGTAAGGGCTTGAGTTTGTTTGTAGTTTTACAGAATTATGCCTTCCCCCTTCTTTCTTCTTTCCCCTTCCTCCTTCCCTCAGTGCTTCCCCCCTTGCCATCAATACTTAAAAAATAATTCCCATTCATGTTGTGTGCACGCACACGCTGGGAGAAATTACAGGCACTCTGCTCCAGGTTGCCTTGACAACTTCAAGGCATCCCTGTGTGGGGGGACCGGTGGCACAGCAAAGTTTCCCAGGCCCCCTGGGGAAGGGGAAGGGAAGAGAGGAGGCAGAGGTGCTGGAGCCAGCAGCCATGCCGAGGGGAGAGCAACGAGCAGGATGAAAGGGGCACATACATCTCCAGTGGGACAATGGGAGTTTTGCTGGCTGGCTGTGAAAGGACACGCTAAGGGTACAATGGTCTGTGAGACATGAAAGCTTTGAAGCAAACTTTATTGCTTCTCCATTAGGGATTCTTCCAGGGTCCCACTCAGCTCTAAGAAATCTTGTCAACATCTTAAAATATAAAGAAAATAAAGCCCATAATTTTCTCATGTTTTAAAAACAGATTTAAAGTAATTTTTTAGATAATTCTTCTTGTTGGTATGCTGGAAGCTTTTGCAGTTTCGGGCCTGGACAGTACTAAGTGTCTCTCTTGTGAGTTCCCCAAGTTCCCATCAGCTTCAGTGGGAGGGAACGCTGCCCAGCAGCTGCCCAGTAAGGGCTCTCTGAGGTGAGAACTTGCTTCCTCCTCATGTGGCTTCTGTTCATACTTAGACCTATCATCCCCTCTGCTTGGAATGCTTGCTGCTATACATGCCACGAGCGGTTAGAGCTCAAGAAGAGAGGAATTGCTGTTCCCTAACTTCAAGCTGAGAAGTCTTGTAAGTGATAAGCAAGAGCAGGATTTCCTGAAATAAGGGACCATGTAATCACAGCCAGAATGCATAATAGGAAACCAAGCTCTAAAGCTGCTTGTAAAGAAACGAGCATGACTCTTGCTCCCTGGTGTATCACTTGCACATGGTTCACCACCCAATGCCAGAATCAGTCCAAGAAATAGGATCACAAGCTCTAATCCTTCAACTCAGCAATGTTCATGAGTAAGATACGCCCTACGATAAGATACGCCGTAAGATATTGACTCCTAGTGATTTTTGGAGTGCAGGAGACGCAACCTAGTGTAAGTGTGAAGTTCAAAGACAGACCAGGCCTTGTTAAAGGAGGAAGCATGTATGTCTGTGAACTATCTAGACTGACAATGCTCAGTATCTGGTCCTGAACCTGTTACCTGGTAAGGGCAGGATACTGGAAACTGCCAGATTTAACCTCTGTGCATTTCCAATCCTTCCTACCTGTGGGAAACTATACAAGTTAACCTTTTCATGCTCGGGCTGTAAACCAAGTTTAAAGCCTGATTTTAGCTAAAATGAAGATATATACCACCATTGTCACTATCCTAGAATTATCAAGGACATAAAACAGTAATTAGCTTACATAAAGTTGACTGGACTAGTGTGCATCCATTAATGTTTCACTTTTTAAGACACACTTTATTTTAAGTTACATACTGGTACTTTATGCATTGGTTAATTATATTTACACTATTTTGCATCTGCATTATCTTGCATTTGAATTATTTTGAGGACTCTAAAAACAGTAATGAATCCTAAATCCACCAACAAGTGGGCTATAGGAGTTATTTCTTGTTCGTAAAGTTAAGAAAACTATTTATTACTTGTAGTACTTCACATTTTCCTCACAGAAGGTCAAAAACATAAATGTAAACTTACCACAAGCATCATTATCCAGTTTTACAGATGGAAAAGATGACCAGAGAAATGAAGGATCAAGTTCTTCTAATGTTGGCTTTCCATTTTCAGTTTCTTACTGTGCCTGTAACTTTGTTCTTCCACTGAAGTGGCATGTGTAGAGCAAGCAATTCATGGTGCAAATCTAGTTGTTTCCTTTTGCAATTTGTTCTGTGGTTACAAATCTGACTGGCTCTAATGGCTTCTGCTGAAAGGACAGGTAAATGCTAACTGAAATGAAAGGGTAAGTATGAAGCACGTGTTTGGTTTTATACTTTGAAGATTTGATCAGAGCCTGGAACACAGCTTTTATCTGTTACATCAATGGCTACAGTACTTTTACTGCAACACCAGTAGCACGTATTTCCTCCATTGAAAGATGGACAGAAGCATGATATATCTAGAATTATTTAAGAAAACATTTAGTTTAGTCATTATTCTAGTTTATATTTCCATATTATATATATATATATATATATATGTGCAGTGCTGTTGTCTTGTTTTAAATTATTTCTTCTCTGAGATATGTACCTGGAGCAGAAGGTGGTCAGTTTTCATGATATTTTACATGTACAAAGACAGCATCAAGATCTATCTGGACAGTCTGCAGAAGTCTGGATTAGGCAGTGCCTTAGAGAGAGGTCCATAGGAGAAGGTGATAAAGCAAAAACATTCTTTGCTGACTTCTTTCTTCATTCTGCACTTTGAAAGCTTGATTCCAACAAGAAGTAGCAGCACTGTTTATAGACAGCCAGTGTACCCCTCTGGAAGAAGTACGGGGAAATTATTGACTACCTGAAATTTTAAGAAGGAGCAAAGGGACATCTTAAGGACAAGAATACTAGCTACACCTGCTTGGAAAGAGAAAGAGCTTTTCTACTTCTAACAGTCCTCATGAGCTTCTCAGAGACTCAGAGCTCTTTTCCTGGCAGAACTGCACCTTTATTTAAAAAACACAGTGCAGCCCGGTTGGTGCAATCTGATGACCAAACACTTCAGCAGATGCCACAGTGAGCACCCTAGTATTCACATTAGATCAGATGTATTAAGACAAGCCAAGAATTAGGATTATTGCTGCAAGTTTTGCAAAGCTTATAAAAGATTCTAATGCTTATTTATACAATAGTAAGGATTTTCAGAAACTAACAGCATTTAATCTGTTTTAAACTCCCATGGCTTGGGACAGAGGTAACTAAGATCATTCCATTAGGGATTGCAGAAAACTCTTCAAACACATTCATTGTGGCAAACATTATCAGCATTTCCTGAGAGTACTCTGTCTTTCTTACTACCACAAATTTGGCACAAGGCATTTCTAAGGCACATCTGGTAATTACACTACTCAAAAGCCATGAACTGCCTCATTGGAATTCAGGGAATTTCATACTGCATCAGACCAATAGTCTTAATCTTTGCTTTTAGGAGTGTTAACAAAACACAGAAAGCTGTAACTCATGTAATTATGTAATAACAAGCATTAGGGGTGGGATGGGAGCACAGAGGCAGTACAAGCTGCAGAGGAGCACCAGCTTACCTTGGGTAGCTTTAAATGTACTAGTCACCAAAAGTCTTCCCACAAAACCATTTTCATCATGCTGAGTTTCTCATCTTTGATCACAACTGTATGAGGTGAATGTCCTTGTTCTTAAATTTACTAGGAATTGCTGCCCTGGATAGTAAAGCATCAGGGAAGATGGGAGTCCGAGCAGTAGTCTACTACATGAGTACTACGATCATTGCTGTACTGATTGGTATAATCATTGTGGTCATCATCCACCCTGGGAAAGGTACTAAAGAAAACATGCACAGAGAAGGCAAAATTGTGCAAGTGACAGCAGCAGATGCCTTTCTTGATTTAATCAGGTATGGCTATGATATTGCACATTTTCTGTACCAATAGCAATAATAGTAATGTTTAGATTCACATGAGAACAAAAATAGAGACTTTTAGACAGTGACTACATAAACTGGCCATGTTTATTTCAACTACGTGATACCACTGTCTGTAACCTCTACAAAGCTACAAAGGAATATATGGACTTATTTTCAAATAAAGATGTTGCAAGGGAAGAAACTATTTTTAATATTCAAAGATTCCTTCACGCACAAAAGACCGATTTCTGTTCTGCTATCTGCATGGGTCTTTTCCCCTCCTTCCATACACAGTCTTTATTATCGAATTGCTCTGCTTTTCTTTACTTCAAACTTCTGGCAGTTTTCTCATTTCACTTGAATACCTGATACATCTTAATTTTGAATTGTAGCTGCCAATCTGTGTGCATCTACTCAACTTGTAAAATTGTAAAGATGGGAAATAAGTTTCAGCAACAGGCGAGTAAAATGCTTGAAACCGAGGGGCACAGATATAAAATCTTGTTTTCTCCTTGCTCAGAGCCTCTGCAATGCCTCTTTTATAGAGCTAATATGTCACAGATGTATTCCAGGGAGTAGGGAAGCTGAGGTTTTGAACTCGGGAGCTTTTCCACAGGTAAAGCCACCAAAATTTTGTGTTCCACTAACCCATTTGGAGAAGCCAGAGACATGGAGAAAGGCCTCCAAGAGTCATGCTGCCAGGAAAGGGGACTTCAGAAAGACCCATGAAGAGGTTTGCACTCAGATTCCTCAAGATTTATTCAGTTAGGCTACTGCTAATTCCCTCAGAAATGTAACCATGCTGGAGAGCAAACAAACCAACCTTTGTATGTAAAAGTTATATACACACAGATATAATAATATATGTATCTGTTATTATTAAGAAGTGCTCAACCTTCAGAAATATTATTTTTTTAATCACAAGACCCCAAAGTTATTAATAAATGTAATTATATACTAGGCTACATGACTACAAAAACCATTTGAGGTGTACAAATGTATTAAACATTAACTTTTTTATTAGTCTGGATTCAGAAGGCATGAATAAATACAAAATTGGAAGTCAGCACTGACTCACAGAGCTTTGTTCATTTGGTAATTTAGTGAATATTCTGCACTATAACCAGGCCTGCTATACAATCTTGAATACAGGTATTGCAATTACCACTATCTATCCAGCCTACTACACCTCCTCCTGATAAAACTAACCAGGCCAATGCTGTATGCAAAGCTCTACTCACTGTACATATAATTACATATTTTTCTTACAATTCCTTCAAAAATTGGCTTGTCAATTATTTTATTAGCTGTGCCCCTACTTAAGATATTACTAGAGTCTTATTACTTCTTATGTTATTTTGTTTCTTTTTCACAGAAATATGTTCCCTCCAAATCTGGTGGAAGCTTGCTTTAAACAGGTAAAAATGCGTTATTATTTCCAACATTAAAAAGTAAGAAATTGAAATGTAACAGCATTTTCTTTAGGAATATCTCTTACTTGTGCTTACAGTAGGAACAAATCTTGTGTATGCTGCTAATGTATGAGTTGACAAAAAACCACAAACCAACCAAATCTGTGGTTTGCTTTCAGTCACACTGTCTCAGTATTTGCTATTGGGAGTGGAGAAAACACACTTGTCACAGCAAATAAAAAAATAAGTTTTTTCAAAATTTCAGATTCTTAAGTCTACAGCAAGCTTCATTACAGTCAATACAGAATTTATTTTTCAAATCCAGTGTTATTTTAAGCTGGGAGATACCGAGATATGCACCATCTGTACAAAGTCTGGAAATTGTTCAAGAACAACACCTGAGAAATAGACATAGCTTCAAACCAGTGGCTACAATTTTCTGGACATCAATAATAAAATCAAGCTCGGGGACTTCTGTCAACTGTGACAGGAGTGCATAGGAATGCTTCTTCTATGTTGCTTCCCAAATTTCTGTATTATTAAAGTGGTCTTGACCTTAACAGTTCTATGAAGTAGTAGTAAACATTTACATTCCTTTTTAAAAGGAGGACATTTAGATTAATTGAAATCTATAATGTGTATTTCCATAATCTAATTGCTTCCTGTTATCTCACAGACAATCAGATATTTAAACAGATATTTCCAGTTACTGCTGGAGCAATAAAAAAGCTGAAATATGGAGGTCGAGAAGCAGGAGGATAAAGTAGAAACTTTCGAAAATCCAGCTGAGTTACATCTTCCAGAAGAACTGAAAAGAACCAGTAAAATTTTCTTAGCTACATAAACAGAGACCAATAAAAAGCAGTGACTTTCGAGATCAAAGATTTGATCGAGATTAAAGATAAACTAGACCCAGGTCCAAAACCAACAAATGCTGTTCCTCTGTTTTCAGTAACAATGTTGATGAACTTAGGACAGTGAAGCAGAAGAGCAGTATGGAAATGCAAAAGTCTGTATCTAAACTGGAAGCAAAATTCAAATAATTTAATGTAATAAAGTCAGGGAATTATATAATCTTTATCTCAAAATAATGAAAGAATTATGATATAAAGATGCAGATCTAGCAATAAGTATTTTTAGTTAGTCTCTCAAGTTGGGAAGTTATTCTCTAAAACCAATGAAAGCAATGATAATGCCTTTCAAATTGTAATTTTAAAAGATTTGGGAATAGATTTAAGCAGTTAATAACCCATTAACTTGATCTTGGCTGTACTGAAGGATGTAAGTGCCTTGAAGGAAAGAGTAAATACTTTGTAATAGAAGAAAAAGAAAAATACATGAAGAAAATAAAGAATAACACAGGTTTCTGAAACACAGATGGTACCAGAATAAACTTTTTTTTTTGTTTGGTGTTTTTATGTTTTGGGGTTTGCTTGTTTGTTTTGTGCTGTTATCTTTTGGGGTGGGTTTTTTTTTGTGCCACAGAAGCACAGTGGATCTAATCTCTCTGTGGACTTCTGTTAAATAGAATTTTTAATGTAAGGTAAGTGAAACAGTTGATGAGGGGATAACATTTTTGTAAAAATAATAAAATTTATGGAGAGAGCTTAAGACATTGTTGAAGGACTGGGCATATCTCAATTTATATCTCTATGAATTACATTGCTGTAAGATGCAGACAATGAAATTTACAGATGACAAGACAGTCCAAGTGCTTTGTATCAAGATACATAACAAATACTAAACAAGGTGATAACACCCTTAGCACTCTGTAGTACTATAAAGCCACAACAACAAAGTGAATTGGCTTTTGCAGACATTTTGCAGACATTTTGCTTATCTATTTGTAGGTCTCATCACATGTGAAATAAATAAAAATTCACAGTAATTTCTGCTTTGAGGTGGGAAGCCAACATCAGAAAAACTAAAATTAAATTAAATCAAACCCCCTCTAATTCAGCTTTGGGACATAATAGGTGACATAAGTCCAAGAGAATTAAGCTGAGGAAAGTGACAAACTGGATTACTAAGTAGATTCTGGCCATTAAATTCATAGGAAGATTTATGCAAAGGGAGTACAGTAGAGAGAGGAATTTCTGGGATTATCAAAAGAACACAGTGTATAACGGAAAAAAGAATCTTGATTTAAAAGTTATTCAGGTGTGAAAACCAAAGTGGGAAGAGAGCTATATATAGGACAAATGTTTACACAAGAAGAAATGGAAAGCACTATGAATGGGTGAGAATTAGAAAGGTTTTTAACCTTCATTACCTAAAAGCTGAGGTCCTAGAAAAAAATTCAACTAGGAGTCACTGGAACAAACTACTTCATCAGTTTTTTAAGATACAAATTGAAACCCTTTCAGTGAACTATCCTGCAGCAATATGAAACTTGACTAGCAGTTCTAAATCAGTGCTCTTGATCAAAGATGTCCTGTAGATTCTGTTTACATTAACTATATTGCATTTCTTTTGTGCCTTGCAGCTTAAAGGGATTTCTGAATAATGGGTCAAAAAAGAGGAAAAGTTTCATGAAAGTGTTTTCTGACTTCAACAGCTGCTATGCTTACTGAAGCATCAGGACTTTAAATTGGTCATACTGATACTATTGCCTTTTGAATCAGGTACCAAAAACCTAGGTTTTCAGGTATAGGCTATTTTTATTGTAGCAGATTTTTTAAACTAAAACCTTTTTACAGGAGAATCAGGTATGTTAAGATTCATAAGCAGCCAGATTAATTTGTCTATCTGACTCCACAACTTTCTTTTCAGAAGTTTACATCAGGTTTTTCACATGCTTCTCAGAAGATTTATGAGGAAGGATGATCCATCTGGCCCTAATCTAGTTCTGTAACACCGTGTTTGCTGGCCCAAACACAAAACAGACTACTACTCATAGCTGTCCACACTCAAAGGCATAATACTAACCCACAGCTTTGCACATCTGGGAGTCATCACTAATACACAGACTCTGTATTCAAATCACACCTTTTGATATATTCAGTGCTCGCATTCTGTTTTATAGCATCCTTAGGCAGCTTTCTTTCCTGACAGAGATTTGCACTGGAACCCAGTGGAAGGTTTTTCTTTCTCACCATGGCCAGCAGATAGGTCCTCAAATGACTGTATTAGTACTCACAGCAAGTTTTGAACCCATTGCTTTCCCCATCAACATGAAACGCTCCTCAAAGCAGCTCCATTAACCCACAGGACCAACTATAGTTTCCAAAATTTTTTACCTCAAAAGATTGACTGTTACTCAAATTTTGTAATGCCAAGGCATGGGAAATTGTACTTTCCCTCACATAATTAATTTTAGTGAAATAAAGCTTGTTTTCTGCATGTGGAATTGCTCTCCTGCAAAATGAAAGGGAGCTGCGGGGAGAGAGTAACCACGATGGGAAGGGCATCTAGATGGAGTTAGGGAAGATTTTCTAGGATTACTAGGAGAAGAAGAGTCATGAAGGAAAACCAGGGCCTTAGGCTATATTTGGGAAGAATTTTCTGAAATTTTCTACTGTTGCTTATCCAGTCTTACAGTCCTTTAGGTTCCCTGTCCCATCAAATCTCTGAGGTAAACAAAGCTGCCTCTTCTTTCTTCTTCTTCTCCTCCATCTTTGCACATTCTCTTCCACTGAAACAGGAAGAGAGGTGGAACAAAATAGCCCTGCTCAAAAAAGGACCCCCCATTGTGGATCCCAGAAGCCAGGAGGAATGCCTATAGGAGAGAAAAAGGCCTCATGGAAAAGCTAAGGAAATACTTTCATTCAAACCTTTCAGCTGAGTATCAACAGAACCATTTCAGTCTTAGCTTGTGAGATTCAGCCTCATCCTCCAGGAAAGTCTAGTGGGACAAAAAGCCACCATTGTCTAGCAGGTCAAGTTAAGAAGAATAATCTGGAAAACAGCAGCCTTCAGCTTCACCAGTTCTCCACTAGTTAGTCCCTCTGTCCCTGTGAAAGTCCAAAGTCCTGTCCACACCTTGGCTGTAGCAGGACTTCCTCCAATAAATCAGTGGCAGATAGGGATCACTGGAAACAGCAGATTGTTAATCCAAACAACATACTTTCTGATGTTGGTTATTTCCATGTCACATGTGTTGCTACTTTGGGGGCTTTTGTGATTTTTATCAGTAACAGAAGAATCTGAGAAGACTGACAGTAGATAAATATTCCACACTTTATCTAAAACTAGATTACTTAATTCAGAATTTTCTCTATATCATTATAATCATCCCTAATTTAGGTGTATCTAAAGGAATCTTAGGATATATCTTTCAGCTCTGGCCATTGTATCTTCATTTCTCCTTCTTTGCTATCTAGCCTGGGGCTAAGCAGTCTTAAGCACTGCTTTTTAACTGCTTGTTCTTCGTGCTGTGCTTTGGGGATATATCAAAAGACAAAAGAAACCCAAGTGATTTATCATGAGAAACAGGATCAGTTTAACAATCTGGGTCACTCCCTTGTGAACAAATGGAATGTGATGCCAGATGAGGCATAAAGAACTGGAAAGGTGTATCTGATAACTGCATTTCTTCTGAGTTAATTTTAATTAAGTAGTCTTTCCTGAACTCATCCTTATCAAAGCGATTGAAAGTTTTAATCACACATCCAGACACTAATAATAAGTTAATATATGCTGTCTATTTCTAATTATAATATTGGCTAGTTAAGATAGTTTGACCTGTGTCATCAGCTGTTTTTTAATTAGGAAGATGGGCTATCACTGCCTTATGTTCATTTCTTTTCAGTTTTTTAGTCTCGCATTTAAGCGAACTTGTTGCTTTTAAAATTATCATTCACTAAAAACTACATCATCATACAGACTTTAGCACAGACAGCGCTAATTATAATATCTCAGAGTACTGACAGTAAGTAATGAGTTTTCAGAACTGTTACCCATGCAATTACCTTGGCTCCCAGTTAACCACTGGAATGTGCTACTGCAATGTTATAATGTTTCTTCTTAGAGTCATGCAATGTATTCAAGCCAGACAACTGTGGATATCTTGTACAACTAATGAAAAGAATAGTAAAAGCCTAGACAACTAATTCACTGTATCAGGCAATAAAGTACTTGTATTATCTATTTCATAATGAGATAACTTAATCAAAAAGCATTTTAAACTGTTCATTAGCACTGGGTCTTGTAAAAAAGTCCAGAAATGCCATTATTTTGTTATATTTTACTTGCAGATACAATTTCACACAAGGGGGGCTATTCTCAGACAAACCAAGACTGTGCAGCCTCTGAAAGAGAGGCAGTTTAAGACTTAGCTCATGGCCTGCTCCAGCAGGCAGCACAGATCTAACGCCGTCTAACAGCCACATCATATGCTGCTTTTGACTAAGACATAGAGGTAGGAGCAGAGAAAGGACCTGAGGGTAATGAAGATGTGTCAGGACAAAGTCGGTCATGATGTATCTAGGGAGAGTAGGAACTCAATAGGAAATATGGCAGGAAATTAGGCTTTAATTCTGCTCCTCATGAAGCAGTTTGCTTTTTTATGTATGTCTAATTTTTATGCCCAGCCAAATTACACCTTTCAGATATTTGCATTAAGGTTATTTCTATCTAAGTTTATTTTCCTACTGAAAAATGGTAATAAAAATATATATACAACAAAATTATCATTCCTATACACATCTAGAAAAAAAAAAAAAAAAAAAAGTATTTGATATATGGTGTGAGACAGTATTTCAGCATTCCTGTCAGGACTGAACTAAAATCCCTTTAGTGATATATTTTAGAAAATTTCCACTCTACTACCTCTCTGTCACTTAAAGAAGCAAACCCATCCCTCCTTCCCTGGCTGTGTAGCTCCTGTCTCAGTGTTTTGCCTTGTCTGGCCTTCATCCGTAAGTGAGCTGAAGCACCTCCATAGCCTTCACCCAAAAATGGCCACTTTTTTTTTGCATGGTAAGTTTTCTGCCAATTTAAAAAAACAGAATTGGCACATCGAAAGATCGAGCTAGAACTGAGAGAGAGAAGAAATTATCACACGTTGGATCTGAGTGGGTGAGGGAATAGAACTGGGTTTTTCTGTGTCAGCAAATGGTTTGAACAGCTCAGCTGTCTCCTCTAACCACAGCCCACATCTTAAAACATGTTAGCAAATTTCATTTAAAACTCAAGAATACCTGACCTCCATTGAGATCCATTCTGATACACCTTATTTAGAAACCCTCCATAAATCTCTTGTCAGGAAGTTTTATTTGAAACTCTGAAAGACTTAAAGCCTTCAGGAGGATACAGCAGATATGTGGAAGGGGTGCACCAAAATTATTCAGGTGTGAGTAATAACCAAAGATTAGGTCAGCATGCAGATACTCAAGTTTTCCATCTTAGTCATAACTATTCCATTTCACTGAAATACTTCTGGAATGTACAAAGATCTCCAGATATTACTAATAATACCACAGCTCCTGGACTTAATATTTGTTTCTTATTGGCAGATCCAAAGAAGTAACAATTCATATTTGCTGAACAACCTTGATGCCAGCATGGCATTGCTTTAATAAGGGATTTAACAATCTCAGATATAGTAGAAACATTTTACTAGTGATATTTAGCATTTTTTTGTGCTCAGCAGCATTTAATCAGGACAGAGCTGCAGGGTTTTTTGAGCCCAGACAGAAATATTGAGGATGCACATTTTTCTTTCAAAAAGCATTATCTGGGAAAAGACTGGTTTTGAAAGAAGATGTTTAGGAGCATATTGAGATTTTGCAGTTTATTTTCCCATTCCATAATGGAACCAATTAAGGTAAAACTCTTTTCTTGATTAAGAAAAATTATTTCTTACTGCAAAGCATAGAAAACTAGTGGCTTTAGCACAGTAAAGGAAGAAAGATTTATTAAATATTTTACGCTTTCAGTCTAAATATTTTTTAATTCAAAAAGATTAAAAAGTAAGAAAACACCAGAGCACATAAAGATATTTTACCTAGATGAAAAAGACAAATTAATTTAATTTAACAGTTGGGAAATTTTGTTAGGAAAAATAACAGTTTCTAAAAATGTAAACTAAGGTTCAGCCATTCTGTCACAAAATTCATGAGCATGGCAAATCTTTACCTTTTATTTTGACATATTTATGATAAAACAACTTCTGGAAGCTAAAGGTAAAGATTTAGCTTTGAAGTTAGTATGGATTTTTGTTGCTTTTAGGAAAATAAGGTTTTCATCACAGTACCAACAAACATTATACAAAGAATTCAAATGTCCTACAACAGTAATCAATAATTTTTTTAAAAAGCATTATTTTTTACTTTATTTGCTATAATTCACATAATTCCTATCTTTCTTTTATTTTTTTTTTCTAACAGTTCAAAACAAACTATGAAAAGAGAATGTTTAAAGTAACTATTCCATCCAATGACACATCCACAGTGGCTTCCATAATAAGCAATGTATCAGAAGCAATGGAAAAGCTCACCCAAATGAAAGAGGAAATAGTTCCTGTTGCAGGTTCTGTAAATGGAGTGAATGCTCTTGGCTTGGTGGTTTTCTCAATAAGCTTTGGCCTGGTGATTGGAAGCATGAGGGAGCAAGGTCGGGCATTAAAAGAATTCTTTGATAGCCTTAATGAGGCTATCATGAGATTGGTAGCTCTAATCATGTGGTAAGTGCCTCTTTGATAAATTCTGTTTTAAGTTACTAACAATGTTATTTCATCACAGTCAGGCACTGGATAGCAGAAGTCTGTTTGGCAGGAAGTCAAACAATAAGATATCGACTTTTGTGTTTTTTTAATAAATAAACCCAAGAACTATAATTCTGTATTTCAAGAATTTTCTTAAATATTCCTACTCTTTCAGTGTGTTTAACATGACATAAGAAAAATCAGTCTATGGCAGAACTTGCTAAGGTCATACAGAACCATTCTGTGTCTTCATAAAGATAGCAATCACAACAGCATGCTATCTCAGTTTCCTAATATCCTAATCTGACTTCACTAAAGGAAACCAACAAACCTCTCCCATAATCTTATTTCTACACAGCAAGACCTTGTTACTATTAGTTTCCAGCACAACTGATGCCTACAGTGGTGTAGTGTACATGTATATATATGTCCTTGCATGCTAGTTGCACTGCTTACCCATACACATAATTTTCCTACTTTCTTTATTGTGTTCAACAGGTAAGTAAAAACAATACATTTTCCCTCAAACATCAGATGTGAAGTCCTTCCAACAATTAAGATACATTACTTTTTCAGGTATAAGATTAATTAAGAAAAGAAATTATTACTTTTTTTCTTTACTACAGAAAAGAAACAGTCAACACCAAAAGCCTACCCAGGAGCACACACACATATGTTGCAGTACTAGGTATAAAAAAAAAAAGTATATTTTTTACAGTAAATAAAACTCTGTTCTATCAGGAAGTATTTATACAAAGCAAAAACCTTTTCTCTGTCTTTACACACATGCTTAAGGTGCTAAAGCAGCAGGTGAGAAATGTTACTTCTGAGAAATTTCTCAAGATATTCAATGGCTTAAAATACAATTGAGATGTGCTGGACAAATTTTGTTCTGTGGTAACTTGGTGTGAAAAGACAAGTTGACATTTATAGAAATAAGGCTGTAACAAAAGTCCACCTGCAGTAGAATTATGTTAGAGTTATATGCTCAGCACTGTCTCTTTCTTCCTCCGTAGCTGTGCTTGCCCATAGGAAAAAGCAGATCATACCACCTTCATTGCTGCCCCAGAATGCAGATGTCCTCTGTGGTACAGAGGGCTTCGCACTAAAGTACTTGTCTAGTGCCCTGCTGGACAAAATGGGGGATGGCCAGAAGCAGCTTGAAATCATTGGAAGCTATCAGACTTCTGTGTGGGTTTCTTCCCTAATAACATGGGAAACAGCACTGGCACAATAATGAAACTGGGTGCTTGGCATGGTCTGCAGTGTTGTCAGTTGAGCCTTCATTCATACAGACACAATTATAACAGAATTGGCTAAACTAGCTTTTAGATTACACTTGAATTCCAAAGAGAGCTCATCTTCCTGCATGTCTGAAAGGCACACTGTACATCTTGAAATCCTAATCAGATCCCAAGTCCAACAGAAACATTCACTGTTGTGGAATGATCCAGTTGAACTATTAACAGGTAAACTCTTGAACTGCTTCTGAGTATGTGCAGTCATCCTAACAGTGAAATCCTACAGTCCTGCATGCAGACAGACACAAAAAGTATGGATATGGGAGTGAGTTTCTCCTTTGTTCAGTGCAATACTGATATGATTTTTTATTTTTAGGTATGCTCCACTTGGAATCCTCTTCTTGATTGCTGGAAAAATTGTTGAGATGGAAGATATGGGTGTTATTGGTGGCCAGCTTGCTATGTATACTGTAACAGTTATCATCGGTTTGCTAATTCATGCTGTCATTGTCCTACCTCTTCTCTACTTCCTGATCACTCGTAAGAACCCTTGGGTATTTATTGGAGGCTTAATCCAGGCATTAGTCACAGCTTTGGGAACATCTTCCAGGTATAATAAAATATTTTAAGGCTATGTTGGTTTTATAATATTACTGATTTGAGAAACAACTTTGTCTAATGTAATTGGTTAACTCTAGTTGGCAAACATGAAAGTTCAGAGGGGTGTCTGAGAGAGCCTGAGAGACCTTACTGGCAGCTGAAGTTCTGTGTTCAAAATCCTGAAAACCAGTGATGCATATATAACTTGCAACAGAATTGCCACTTTTGTGCTTTGTTTGTGAAGTCATAGGTAAACCATATGAAAAAAGTAAAAAGTTTGCATGTATGATGAAAGGAAACATTATTGTAATCAAAGCTATGTTCCTGTATCATATGGCCTTTCAACACCCTTAATTTTAGTAGGTTTTAGAAGTATTGTATCACAGAAAAAGCTTTTGAGGACTTGAAAAAAATTATGACAGTATATTAATGGGTAGAGAGGGACAATTATTAATTCAACATTTTTATGTCAATCTTTGCACATGTGTGAAATGCCTAAAAGAAATTTTAACTAATAATTATTTTTAAAAGAATATATTAACACTAATGTCAGTCAAGAAGGTTTAGGAGCAAATAAAATTAAACTAGAGCTTTGGTTGGTTATAGAAATACAGTTAAGAGGGTATGCTCCAGCTTCTGTAAGGTTCCACTTGGTGCAGCTCCAGATTCCAAGTACCTAGACCAAGAGACCATGCAATACTGCAAGTGGTTTTAATAGCTGTTCAAAATTCAACTCAAGACTGACTGTCATCAAAGAGATTTTCTAGCACAATCTTCCACAACACTTCTTTGCTTTACATTTTAACAGTATTTTATTTTATTGATATTGATCAATTTTTCAAAAACATGAAAGTCTGTTAATCAGTAAAGAGGTCACTGAGACAGAGTAATCCGATTTCTCTCCCTCTACCCTGCTCTCATAGCACACCAGCTGGAGTATTGTGTCCAGCTCTGGGGCCACAAACATAGGAAGGACATGGAGCTGTTGGAATGAGTCCAGAGAAGGGCCACAAAGGTGATCAGAGGGCTGGAGCAGCTCTGCTGTGCAGACAGGCTGAGAGAGTTGGGGCTGTTCAGCCTGGAGGAGAGAAGGCTCTTGGGGAGACCTTATAGCACCTTCCAGTGCCTGAGGGGGCTACAGGAAACCTGGGGAGGGGCTTTTTGCAAGGTCATGTAGTGATAGGATGAGGGGGAATAGTTTCAAAATTAAAAAGGTTTTAAACTTATTTAGGTCAGCTATTAGGTGGAAATCCTTCACTGCGAGGATAATGAAACACTGGCAGAGGTTGCCCAGAGAAGCTGTGGCTGTCCTATCCCTGGACGTGTTCCAGGCCGGGTTGGATGGGGCTTTGAGCAACCTGGTCTAGTGGAAGGTGTCCCTGCCCATGACAGGGGAGTTGGAACTAGTGATCTTCAAGGTCCCTTCCAACCCAAATAATTTGATTAATTTCTAGGTATTGAAAAATTTACTTTAGTGTGATCACATGTAGAAATACGAGTTTAAGAACAAAAATTCCAGGCACCTCTTGAAAAATGACTACTTTAACCTTTCTTCTGAGGCTGTATCTCTGAAAAGGAACTTGTCATCATGAGAACTGAATCAGGACTCCCGTACCATATGAAGACAAAGTGTTCAACGGGTTTGGTCTTTAAATTAAATTTTCATTCATATGGTATTTGCATGTAGCAGCAGGGGAACAAGATCAAGTGGTGCACGGGACCTGGCTGAGACAGAGTTACTTTTCTTCACAGCAGCTTGTAGGTGCCATGTTTTAGATTTGTGACTAAAACAACACTGATCACACACTGATGTTCCACCTATTGCTAACGAGTATTTACAGACCATCAAAGCCTTCTGTGTTTCTCACTTTATCGGAGAGGAATGTGGAATGGGCTGGCAGGGCACACAGCCAGGCAGATGGCTTGAACCAACGAAAGAGGTGCCATGTAACATGCCATATAACAACATGCTCATCAACAAAAGGAGAAAAGGAGATTTTAGGGAGGCCAGTCCTCTTTCACTTGGGAACTGTCTGGGCATTGGTCTGCCTGTGGTGACAGATTGCACTTTGTGGTGCTTAGCTGCCTACCTGTCTTAACCCTGAAGTGGTAATGTAACAGTTCCTCAAAATGCCCTTTCCAGGGGAGAAAGCAAATAAATCAGATAAGACATACTGTTTAGTGAAGGCTTGAATACCTCAGTTTGCATGAATTCAGGAAAGGAATGCTCAGGGATTATTCAATCATAACTCCAAGACATAAAAAATGGGAAACATTAATTTTAAAATCATTTTTAAATGGCAAAATACTGAAATTAGACACTCAGACTAGGGATAACATAGAGAATTACAGTAATTAATCATTGGAAAAACTTTCCAAGATCATTACGAGAACCTCCATAATTAGAAGCTTTGAATTCAGCTTTTACATTTAAAAAAACCCGCAACTATTTCTGGTAGATCACATAAAAATTAAGACAGAACAGTCTCTCTTATTATCGCAATATATGACACTCTTTTCCTTCCCTGTTTGTAGAATCTCCATCATATGCATACCTTTTTCTTTTTTTCTTTTTTTTTTTTTTTTCTTTTTTCTTTTTTTTTTTTCAGTTCTGCAACACTACCTGTTACATTTAAGTGTCTGGAAGAAATAAATGGAGTAGACAAACGAGTTACGAGATTTGTACTCCCAGTTGGTGCTACAATTAACATGGATGGAACTGCTTTATATGAAGCTTTGGCTGCAATTTTCATTGCACAGGTTAACAACTTCGATCTGAACTTTGGGCAAATTATCACAATCAGGTACAGAATATAAACATCTTCATGATGACTCCTTCTTGCTGTTATATGTGAGATTAAATAAAGCACCTAAAGGTAAAACCAAGACCTGTTTCAGTAGCTGACTAACTGTAAAGATTTACATCTTCTGCACAGAAGAGGCCCCCAGCACATATTAGGGGTAACCTTTACACATATTAGGTAAACCTTTAATAAACTGTTACATTACACAACTACCACTGCACTTACTAGAGTCAACAAAGACAGTTTTTAATTACTTTTATATTTTCTTTCTTGAGAAATCATGCAGCTGTTGAGACTTAAACTCAGTACCAGGTAGTTCATAATGCAGGTACAAAGCAATAGCATAGAAGCATCACAGTGCTAATGCCAGGAGAGGTAGTGTTTCCTAGTCCTGATCATCTCAGGATACAAGCAGACCAATCTGCATAAAGAGCAGTAATGACTTTTAATTACATCAGCTGACAGAGGTGGACAAGATAAGTATGTTTTCAAGCCTTCATGTTTGAAGTAGAACAGCAAATAACCCACTAAGTGGCACTCAATAACTGATCTGCATTGATTTCATTGTTATTCAAACAGTTCAAGAGAAAAGGGTTATGGGTAAACATGCAGAAAAAGAGTATAAGACTGAAAGTTCAGATATGGTGAACTGGGAATGTAGAAGATTTTCAAGCAGAAGTGTTGGCCTCCATGAAAGCCGTCAGCTTAATTCAGTATTAATCAACAGAAGGCAAAATTTTGCCTTCACACTCTGAGACAACAGCTCCATACTCATTAGTATGAGAGTTGCTCCCTGACAAATCACCTGGCAAAACAAATTCTTCCTAAACCAGGTGTGAACAAGCATATTTCTATCATGTTGCTAGACTGTATTATTCAGGGTTTCTGGCAGCTTTGTGTTTTCAGATGGCAGAATGCCAGGTTCTGTAGGACAGATACTTCACCTGGCATGAGGTTAATGAGATGGACAAAGAATAAAAGTTCTTCCATTAGATCTGCCAGGACAAAATTACCTCCTCAGCTTTTCTTCCAACATGTTTGAGCTTGTGGGGTCAGTTTGTTCAATAGGTGAGGGCATGTGTTCGTCTGGTCCTTAGCATCTAGTAGGGGATTTACCACCTAACAGAATGATGTTTTGAGAATTATGGATAAAGATTTAGTGTAAACACTTGTGATTAAGATCCGTACCCCCTGGCAGCTATGTACTGTTCAGATGAGTGACTGGGCTCATCTTTTTATTTACTTCTGGTGAAATGTCTTCTTGCTTTATATCTGGTTTTAATGTTTGCCAGATTATAAGGAGAATTTATTAAGGAAATCAATTAATTGCTCTTGCCATCTCTTTGCACAGCATCACAGCTACAGCTGCCAGTATTGGAGCTGCAGGCATTCCTCAAGCTGGACTGGTCACCATGGTCATTGTGCTTACATCAGTAGGTTTGCCTACAGATGATATCACTCTTATCATTGCAGTGGACTGGTTCTTGTAAGTATTTTTATGAAGTCATTAGGGGCTTAGACAGTATTTAGAAGTGCAATAGCCAGGAACATTCTGGCAATTCTGCAATCAGTGTTTTAATTATTTTTCTGTGGAAGGCAGTTGGAAAGAAGTGTTAAAACGAATCACAGTTTCTCACCATCCATGTGTATTTTCTTAGAACAGATGGTGTGGAGTGCTATTTAATTATGGTTCCTCTTGCATGCAAAAGAGTGACTTAGAAATCTGTATCCTTAGGGTACTAGAAAAACTTTCAGACACAATAATTAAATCAGCAAAGAATTGCTTTAGGCATCTATTTTTTGTAGGGTGATAATGAAAACCTTTCCATCAATCAGGCTTACAGCTGGTTCAGATCCAACCTGGTTCATTGCAGCCCTGCTGACTATCTAATCTAGGAAACATTCATACTTCTGCCCCACAGACACAGAAATGAAAACCAGCTCTGTAATTCTCTTATTCAGCCTCCACAGTATATTGACCCCCAGTTTTTCCATTCCTCTGTCCATATAAGACTGACACCTGTAGGTGTATGGAGAAATCCCTTAGGTCCAGGAACTAGATCAAAAGTAGAAGCTTTCCTCTGACCTCTCTTCTGTGTAACTCCTGTGTTATAGTTTCCAGAGGCTTTTACCCCTCAGTCTTCTCAAGTGATCCCTGCAAGAAGTTGCTCATGTTGTTACCAGAAAATAATGTCTTCAAATTATTGTCTACCCACATGCCCACAACCTTATGTAGATGGATGCTTATCAAGTAACAGTCCCCATCATTCCTCATCAAGCTGCCTCCTACTTCTTGGAGCAGAGCCCCCCAAGAGGGCTGAATTGTTGTGGTTTAATTTGAAATAATTCAGCACAATTCTGCCCTAAATTACTGACCATAATTTATGCTGAGGAGGAAAATGACCCTAACAAGGTATATTCTCATCAGCTTTCATATTCAGAGGTTGTAAACCCAAACCATCAGAGTACCTAAATGCCTCTGAGAAGCATCTACCAAATGCTCTTTTTGTTGTCCTTATCACACAGCTATTTTTTGCTGTGGTGCTGCCAAGATTATTAATACATTTTTTTTACTCCAAATCCTAGTATATCTGTTCATTTCTCTAGAAGAAATAATGGAATTAACAGTTTAGATAAATTAATATACTTAAAACAGCTGAATCATCTGGTGTGTATCAAAGGTCATTTTAACATCTAGTCTGCATGCTTCCCTTAACAAGTGGTGAAATAAAGGCTGTCTTGCTATTATTCTTTAGGGATCGTCTCCGTACCACTACCAATGTGTTGGGAGACTCCATTGGAGCAGGAATTGTTGAACATTTGTCACGACATGAGCTGAAGAACAAGGATGCTGAAATGGGTAATTCTGTGATAGAGGAGAACGAAATGAAGAAACCATACCAACTGATCTCACAAGAAAATGAAAGTGAAAAACCACTAGACAGTGAAACCAAGATGTAGGGTAAAGAAAGCATGAGTCCAACACTGTAAGTGTGAAAACCACACATCTCTTCCAGCCATTTATATCTTGAATTCACCAACTTCACTTATTCCTTTTTTTCTCCCTTTACACTAGCACTGGAAAGAATTAATGAAAATATATTCCAAATTAGCAGTGATCACAGTATATGTTGGCTTCCTACTTTAAAAAAAGAAATTAACAGGCAACAACACTGGTCCTGCTAAACATGCGCTAACCGAGGATAAAAAAAAAGATGTTTTCAATGAAATAAGAACAAAAATGAGCACGTTTGTTGCTCAGTCCTGTGCCTTTTTTTTTTTTTTTTTTTTTTCAACTGGAAAGTAAGAAATTAAAAACAGATAGCACAGCCCAAAATTTTTACTTTTTTTTTTAATTCTTGTTGCAAAATTTCCAACATGTATGAACACACAATCAATACTTCTGATTTGATAACTGGATCCAGCTAAGCACAGGATTTTTGCTCTTTTATCTATTTTGTTTATTTCTTTTGGGTTTTTTTGTTTGTTTTGTGTTGTTTTTTTTCCCTATAATTGTTCTTCTACTAGCAGGACAAAAAAAAAAAAAAGGAAACAAAAAAGAAAAAGGACATTGTTGAAATTTTTTAAAGGGAGAAGATATACAAAAATTTTAAAATACCCCAAATCAGCACTTTCATCAGCTGAGTTGAAATATTAATGAAAAAGTTATTTTATCTTGACAGTTTTTGCATTAGCCTCAGCTGATCTTGACTGAAACATAGCCTAGTCAGCTCCCAATCACTTGCAAACATTTATGTATGTATCTACTTCCAATCTGGATTTGTCCCTTTAATTTCAACATCACAACCCAGCTGAACAATCTATGTTTGTGTTTGTGGGAGCAAGGCCCTAGGCTTTAATGACTGGGACAGAAAATGTGTCTTCATCTCTGTTTGGGAAAAAACATTGCATGCTCTGTGTACACCAATTATCTACTTAATAAGCAGCAATACAAACAGAAGGCAGTGCCAGCCTTCTGCAGAAGGTGCAGAAGCATGAAATGCCCAGATCCTAAAGGGACTGGATTCTAAATCTGAATCCCTGAGACCAATAAGAGGTTTCCTGATTGGAAACCTCCCAAAAGCTTGGTCATCCCACTGATAAGTTATAGAGCTGTTAAGCTGAATTTACATTTTTCCATCTGGAGAAGAAGGCTCCCTAACTCAACACGAAATTTTGAAATCCTTGTATGTTTATTGGTAGCATCTCAAAAAATAGCCCTTTAGAAAGTAAAACTAATGGGTGGTTTCTTTACTTTTTACATGGAAAAATATATAAAATGCAAAATAGTAACTACTAAAAGTGTTGAATTTTTTATTTAAAAAGATTTTAAAGCACAACTTGTAGGTTTCTTTCAGGTAACAGATAAGGAAAGAATGAAAAATGGACACAACACAATTGTAATTCTGTGGCTTGTTTTGTTCATTTCAAGATTATTCCCTGAGGAAGCCCTATTCTAGAAATATAAATGAAGTAATTATTTGCTTTTTGCCTTTTATTATTACAGAGGTTAAACTGGAAAGTTTTATATTGCAGTTAGAGTTAGGGGAATGAAAAAATACTGACAGGCACAATAGTGCTGGGTGACCTTTTTTTTATTAAAATGTTCAGTTGCTTTCTTTCTCCATCAACCTGTCACAAAATTCTGATGATGGAAATTAGGGATTGCCTTACAATGTTCCAGATGCTGCTTAAAAAACATTCAATATGTTGCTTCTGTCACCAAAGGAACATTAATTTGGTGTACAACTGTAGTGAAAATGTCAGCATGCTTGTTCAAGACAAATCTTTTCCCAGATAAGACTGCTTATTTTAGGACTGAAAACTCCTGCCCATCTCCTCCAGTTCAGTAATCCAGACAATGTGAGCAGGAACTCTCCAGTGAATGAAGTGAGTAGGGTTTAATACAGAGTATTAAGCAGTCAAACCTATAAAGCTCTAAATGAATTTCTAACTAAAAGAAAACAAGTACAAGGGGGATATTTTTTGCTAACAGAATGCAAATCTAGTATACAGACAGGCATTTTCTGATATGTAATTAGAGATATTTTTATATAGATACTGTATTCAGAATGTGTGTATAAACATTAACTGTAGAATTTATGACATAACGATTTAATTTTTTGTTAAGATCTTGTTTGGAAATACATTGCAAAGACAATGTGAATGGCTGTCTTTCTATGACTACAGCTGAGAAAAGTGAATTGTGTCACAAAGAATGTGATCTTTTTTATATACTAACTTTGTTTCTTATGGAAATCAGGTATTATAGAAAGATTCCCTTTCCCATCCCTCACTGGTTCTGCATTGGTATGCACCCAGAGTGGATTGAGAAACATTACTTTGTAGATGTATTTTCAATAAAAATAGTTTTACATTACTGCTTTTTTGTGATCTGGAATTTCTTTCAAATTCTCTGTAGAAGAGACAACAAGGTCATAATATGGGATTTCAGGAATTCCAGGCCATTTTAGACAGCAGGGCTTTGATATAGCAGGGTTCCTCACTTCAAATGCCTTCTTAACAGTTTCATTATATATATAAAAAAAGTAAGTAAAGGAGGAGGAGGGAAGAACATTAAAAATTAAAGAACCAATGTTTATCATACTCCAGTTCACTCATATTGAAAAATATAAGTTCACATTGATATCTGCAAAGTGCTAGAATTAAGTATTTACATTTTTGTTGATTCAGCTACTGCAAAGCTGCCAGTTAATTTTGGAAGTATCATCAGATTGTCCTAAATCCCCACTGACTAAGATATTACAGCTTTTCTACAGCCTTTCTAGACAATCCACTGTTTTTCTCACAGAAGTGGTTTTCTGATGGTATCAGTGTTCACTTGGCAACAACTTCAGCTAGCAGTTATCATATGATGGAAGTGAATGTCTTGTCCGAAGGACTGGGAAGGTATAAAAGACACAAGATGAATCACTTGCATCTGGAAAGTTGTGTTGGTTGAAGCAGATGGAGGCAGAGTAGAAAAGTCCGTCCTTTCTGAATATACACTGGACAATGACAACTGTGAAATTATCTGCAGTATTTTGAGTAAAAACAATATGTAATACAAAGTTTCATTAAAAAATAATAATAATCAAGGAAGCCATGGTGTTCTAAAGTGCATGAGCATAACCTTTCCCAGTTTTCCTTTACCTACACATCATTCATTCAGTCAGTCAGTCAGTCAGTTATTCAATCAATCAGTCAGTCAATCAATCAATCAATCAATCAATCAATCAATCAATCAATCAATCAATCAATCAATCAATCAATCCAGCTAACTATCTTTGTGTTTCTAGACTTATTATGGTGGGAAGAGCTAAAGAAAGAGGGTCAGTGTATTACTGAGGGTCAGATACTACTGGTAGAGTGGCCTTGCTTAATCTTTTGTGCCTCCATGCAGATAAAGATCTCTGCTATTCCATAATTTTTCAGCAGTATTTTCATTTGGAAGTTGGGGTATAAAACAACCATGCCAATCTTAGGCAAATATTTATGTCTCTGTAACAGTGTGTGGCCAGTACAAAGCAAAGTGATCATGCATGTGGAAAATCAACAATTGGCACAGGAAAGTTTTTCTGTCTTCCTTTCTGTAGAACTGAATCTGTACAAGTGATGCTTGGGTTCCAATGCAGGCACAACAGATAAGAAATTTAGGGGGTTTTTTTGGTTTGGTTTTTTTTTTCAACTAGCCCTGTAACTCATGCTTGGTTTAATAAAGTTACGATGGAAATGGTACAGCAGAGTGTATCTTGATTCTAGTGTCATCAGTGCTAGTTGTGATCAGCAATGTGTGATCAAATCGCTTCTAACGTGATCAATCATTTCCCAGAACACCACAAAAAATCTGAGATTAACTGGGAGATCACTCTCTGTCTGGATTTCTGTGACATTCTTTTTTTAAAGAGACCAGCTTACCCTGGGAGCACGGAGTAAGAATGAGAGAGACTCTTGGATGATGGAGAAAGACTGGTATACCTCCGTGCCAAACCAAAAACCCAAACTTGCAACATCACTGAGGCAGCAAGATTCCTTCTAATAATAAAGAGAGCTGTAGTTAGATGATATAATCCTGCATGGTGAGGTCCTTCCTTTCCTCATCAACCTGGCTCTGCAGAGGTCTCTAAGATGCCCAGAGGTATCTAAAATTCAAAAATGTTGGTACAGGAGCACTTGCACCTTTAACCAAAGTTTTTCTTCAACATGCCTCATTGCACAACTAGGGCTGCATAGATAATTATTTTTCACTTCAGTGAGGGAACAGAAAAACTGGTGAGAAGAGTTCTTCCAGGGCACCATGAAACAATTTTTTTTAATTCTTTTTTTCCTTGAAAAAAGAGAACAGCTTATTTCAGATATAATGAAATGTTTCATTCTCCGCTTCTTGAAACACCCTATCTCACTCCTGGGTCACTTTTACTCTATTTTAACTTAAAACAAACTCAGCTGTTAAATGAACTGCAACTTGGAAATAAAACACTGAACTAGTTGGATAGGAAAATGTCAGAATGAAATATTTCAACTTTTCTGTAATATCTCCTCACTTTAAAGCCAGTTGTATTTACAGAAGTTGGCACAGCTTCACAAGTACTTGTTTCAAAACTGCATTTTTCAGCATTATATTTTTATATCAATGCTTTTTCTTTGCTCTTTATAACTTCCTTTCTCCAGACATTGCACATTTTTCTCCTTTTCCTGGTTGCTTAGATTTTTTCTTCATTGTGTTACTGACTTTTTAAGACCCTTTTAAAAGTCCTGATTTTTGATAAAAATTGTAAAAACCAACTCTTTCCTGATATTTTTTTACAGTAGCATTACTATTACTCTTGCTCCTAAACCTGTGTTCATTTCCTACATTGTGTTTTTTTTAACGCCTCAACCAGTTTCCCATATTCCTTTCTCCATCCATCCCAATCCCTCTCTTAGCCCTGCTCTTCATTTTTACAGCTTCTCTTGCAAGAACTCCACTGCAGTAGGTCTTCATAAACCCAGAATCAGGTCTCAATAGTATCCTTGGTCACTTGCATAACCCTAAACTTGACTCGACCTCTGTGTTTTCGTTCCTCACCAATAACATGGGGACAATTGCATTCCCCTAGCACCAGGGTTATTTCCAAAGAAATTAAAATTGTGGAGAGTCCATACAACAGAACTGAGAGCCCATACAATGGAGCTGACACACACGCACTTGGGTCAAGTCTTGTGCAACATCCAAA